AGGGGATATTAATTGGCTTCGTCCCACACTAGGTATTCCTACCCATGCATTACAGCATTTGTTTGCTACTCTACAGGGCTCTTCAGATCCATCCAGCCCTCGTTCTTTAACAGCAAAAGCCGAGCAAAAATTACAGTTTGTAGAACAACAAATTAAGGATGCATTTTTAATTAGGATTGATCCTAAATTGCCTCTAACTTTATATATTATTAATACTTTTCAATATCCCTCTGCAGTTTTAGGTCAAAATGCTATGCCAGTAGAATGGGTATTCACTAAAACTAAGCAATCTAAAAATGTTATGCCTTATATTGACATGATTGCAGCTTTAATTATGAATGGTAGAGCTCGTTCTATAACTTTGATAGGAGAAGATATAAACAATATAGTTATCCCTTTAACTAAGGAACAATGGGAATATTTGTTGTCAATTACTGAAACCTTACAAATTGCTTTAGCAGATTTCATGGGAACTTTTTCATATCATTTTCCTAAAAGTAAATTATGGGATTTTTTTAGACGTCAACAATTTGTGGTTAATACCTTATTAGCTGTACAGCCAATTCCACAAGCTTTGACTATATTTACAGATGGATCTAAAAATAAAGCTGTATATTGGACTCAAAAATCTTACTGGGTACGTCAGACAAATTTTAACTCTGTACAACAAAATGAACTTTTTGCTATATTACAAGTGTTTTTAGATTTTCATAACCAACCTATTAATATTATAGCCGATTCGGCCTATTCTGTTGGAGTAGTGACAAATATCTATTCAGCTGTGTTATATTCTAATAAGCCTGCTTTATTGTCTTTATTTCAAAATTTACAAATACATGTTCAAAAAAGAAATCATTCTTATTTTATTACTCATTTACGTTCTCATTCTCAGTTACCCGGACCATTAGTATCAGGTAACAATGCAGTGGATTCCTTAGTTATGTTCACCACACCCGTTGAAGAACATCAATTTAATCATGCAAATGCAGGACATTTGCATCTTAAATATAAGATACCTTTTACAAAAGCTAAACAAATTGTAAAAGCCTGCCCTATTTGTAGACCATTACATTTAAGAATTATTCCCGCAGGTGTCAACCCTCGAGGAACTCAACCTAATGAATTATGGCAAATGGATATTACACATGTACCTTCTTTTGGTCGGCTTTCTTATGTACATGTAGTTATTGATACCTATTCTTCATTTCTATGGGCTACTGCTCAACAGGGAGAATCCACTAAAAATGTTATTGTACATTTATTGGAGACTTTTGCAGTTATGGGAATTCCTTCTAAAATCAAAACAGATAATGGACCTGCTTATACTAGCAGAACATTTAAACAATTTTGTGATCTCCATAATATTATTCATATTACAGGGATTGAATATAACCCCCAGGGTCAAGCTATTGTTGAAAGAGCACATGGCACTCTTAAGTTGCAAATTAAAAAATTAAAAAGGAGGAGTCAGGAGGATATTCAGATACCAATACTGTTTAAATTGCAAAACAGTCCAAAAACATTACTGCATCAAGCATTGTTTATTTTAAATTTTCTCAATTTACCACAAGGTGAAATATTAACAAGAGCTGAAAAACATTTTGAACAGCAACAACAGCCTTTTGTGATTAATGAACCTATTTGGACTAAAACAGCTCCAGAGGCTGAATGGGAGAGGGGCACATTGCTCTATAGGGGGAAAGGTTTTGGTTATATCTCCACAGAAAATGAAATTCAGCAGTGGGTCCCTAGACGATGGATCAGGACCCGCGTCTCCAGATCCTGTTCACCAGCCCCGGAGACAACTCCCCAAGGAACCGGAACCGTGCCTTCAGAAGCGAGCGCGAAACCAGCTAGAAGCTGAGGATGCTGAGTTTGTTCCTATCGCAGCCATGGCCAGATTACAGCTAAGAAAATCCCGCCGCTCACAGCGACCAAATTTAAATCCCCTCCCTACATGGGGACAATTAAAGAAATTGACCATAGAAGGGCAACGGCTTGTCCTTCAAGCAGGAAAGCCTTTAAACCCTGAAAACTTGTTTTTAGCTTTATGTGCCTTGCTCACCGTTGCATCGGGGACTGAGGTACCTCCGCATTCGTACTGGGCATATATTCCAAACCCCCCTTTATTAGAACCTGTAAAATGGGGAACTAGTGATATTTTACTTTATACCACACCTAGAGAAATTTTGTCAGCACCGTGGGCTGATTTAACCCCCCACAATCAAGATGATGGGACACTATTCAATTTTACTTATTATGGTAATCAAAGGCCTATTTGCATTGGGGAACCGCCTTGCATCCCTCTGGGATGGCAGTATTGGATTCAACATGGAATAAAAGCAGGCAACAAAAGGACAAGGCTTCAAGCCTTGGCTGCTCAAACCTTTAATGTTACCTGGAGAAATTTAACAGCACCTGATACAAATACATTTCCTGTATGCCCTGAATTCACTTATAAAAATATTTCTTATAATCCCATAATTTGGCAACTATGTATGGGAAAATTTGCTAAAAATATTGATGGGTATATTATTTGGGGACCATTTGGAAAATTCGTTAATGGATGTGCTGAATGGAATGAGACAAGATGTAATCTCTCTGTTGTGTATAGTCTTCCAGATCCAAAGAAAATAACTGACGGAGCTCCTATATTTCAACAAAAGACGGCTCTCTTGTGGTGGGGAGATGGTGGAATCGCTAACCCTGCTGTTACAGCCGAAGAATACCCTCATCACCTTCAAAATCATATTTGGAAGATCCCAGCCGCTATGCAACCTGTAACCTTGTACAATGTTTCATATTCAGGGACTAGTCGATCTGTATCTACTACTTATAATTTTACTAGGTTTAAAATGTATAATATTACTGTTTGTGCACCTCTGCCTTATGTCTTTTTAGTGGGAACTTTTAATTTTACACATTTTTCTTGTACTTGTTTAAATTGTCAATTGTTTACATGCTTAAATAACACACTAAATTTCACTAAGCCTTATACAGTTATGCTGTTACAACAAAAAACTCATATTTGGTTGCCTGTAAATTTAACTCGACCTTGGTCTCAAGACCCGGTAATTTCTGTTACTACTGAATTTTTTAAACATCTGTTAAAACGTACAAAAAGATTTATTGGAATAGTGGTTGCTGTACTGTTAAGTCTGATAACTGTAGCCTCTCTAGCAGCAGTCTCAGGAGTAGCTTTACAAACCTCTTTGCAAGAAAAACATGTTGTCGAATTATGGCATGAGAATTCTCATGAACTTTGGTTAACTCAGTGGCAGATAAACGCCAGACTACAACAACAAATAGACCTCCTTAAACAAACAGTTGAATGGATGGGTAGAAAAATATTGGCTCTTCAGCATCAAGTGTTTTTAAAATGTGATTGGAATTCAACTACTTTCTGTATAACCCAACGACCTTATAATCAGACAGAACATGAATGGGAAATGATTAGAATGTATTTAAATGGAAACACCTCTGCCCAGGAGGAAATAGAATCTTTGCATAATCAAATTGACAAGGATTTTGCAAAGCAAAATGATGATGAATCTCTAGCACAATTCGCGCAATTGCTTGCTCAATCTTTGAAAGGATTAGATTCCAAAGGAATCTGGCAGAGCATTACCCACACTTTTAGTGGCATGGGACTTAGTTTAATTATAGTTCTCATTGCCATAGTTCTTGTGTATTTTTACTGCATAAGACGAAATGCTATTAATAACCTGATCTTATGGAAATTGTTGTTAAAAAATAAAAAGGAAGGAAGTGTGGGGGATGAGGTGTCACTTTGTAGGCCCAACCCCCTCTAACCTGCAATTTACAATAGCCGCCCTGGTATGCGAGAAGGAGGTAGAACGGGAATGCCCGTTCTCAGTGAGCCCTCACCCTCTGGAATCCATACTGTGAGCTGGCTTTGTTTTGCAGAAGTCTTGAGGAAGTGGCTGGCCACCCTTTGTGACACTAACAGCAGACAAATTAACAACATTCTTGAGCTAATGAATTTCTTCCTGGGCTAGAGAAGTTGTGAGAACTGGTTGTGATTATTTACTTCACTTAGATAGTTTTAGAATAAACATTGTAGTCTGTCACGTTGTAGCTTGCCACAAAGAATGCCTTTTCACTACTTAATTATCTGGGCTCTGTGAATTGATCGGGTTTACTATATATGAATCCTAAAATAAAGATTGTGCGTACAGTGCAGTGCAGTGCAGTGTAACGCGGTGCAGACAGCAAAGGTGTCTCTCCTGTCTTTCTTTTCCAAGCGCTGTACCCCCCGTGTCCCGACAAGGCGTGCGTGTTTACCTTGCCCGGAGTTCAGAGTGCTCTAGACACTCACGACAATGTGGGACTGTCATAGTTAGACACAGGTCAGTGGCACAGACACTGGCTCATGTCCACAGGAAGCATCACACTTGTCAGTGAGCAGGACTACACACATACATATAGCATTATTATCTGGATTATAACATACCAGTAGCCAAATCCTGCAACTGAAACTTAGCCTTGAGGCCTACTAACCATGTGCAGAATTATTAACCCTTACATATCCAGTGATTCACCTTTGGAATGCCCATAACAATAAATCATAATAAAATTTTTTCTAAAGTTTTTGTTCCTTTCTAGGTAACATATATGAATTTTCTAGGTAACATATATGAATTTCATGCAAAATTTAAAAAATTGCAATCTTCAGCATAAATGGGTTGAGTTCTGTTATGCAAACCAATTTCACAAAGCTCCTGGCAAAGATTTGGAGCCAGGCTCAAGGATCAGCCATGCATACAAAGGAGGCTCTATGCTAGCAAAAATTAGTATTTTGAGCATTTGAAGGACAAGACAAAGGCCAGTCTTTTTAACACTGAAATGACCAATTTGGTAGCCAACAAACTAGTGTTAAATTAGTTGCAAGACAGCCACTGGCCTAATGTACTTAACAACACTGAGTACCTGAACCTCCAATCCAGGCGGGCAGCTGGATCACAGTATCGAAACCCTACCTTGACTCTTTCCTTTCCAAGAAAGAAAGCTGTGGCGTGCAGCACATCGGCAGCATGGGTAGAGTTGTGGTAGGCATTGGAGGAGTGGTAGTTGGCTTCCATCACTTGGAGCCAGGCCCGAAGAGTAGCTTCAGAGCAGTTTAAAAATTCACATACTCCAAACCGGGAGAAGACCTTTAAGCCCAAGTAAACCAGTGGCCTGCAAAAGAGGAAAACCAACCCAGGCTCACTGCATTCACAGCCAGAAACTTTCCTTGGCTGTGGGGAATGGAGGCATTGTCCTGATTATGTCACCTACACAGGGGCTTCAGAATGCCTCTTTCCCATATCGGTAGGATGTACCCATCTCCCCAGTAACCTCTCAGCATAAGAGCCACGTCGTTTCTGGGTTACTTGTAAGTCACAGACCATAGTGGCTCTGACTGCCAAGAAAGGTCCATGGCAGTCCCTCTCTACCTCCACTTTCACATAAGCCCTGAGATTGCTTCTCACCTCCTGAGTTGGAGGACAAAGAATGGGGTGCATGGCCTCAGTAAAGTCACAGCATTTAGAATCATGTTACTCATTAAGTTATTCATATCTCACAGAGTAACAACCCCTGGGGTGCAAAAGAGATCCTCTGGTTCTCTAACATTTCATCTGAAAAAGGGAGTCAAAAAAAGGCTATTGTGTTCTTAAAGTACTTTTCTGCCTTTCTTTCTTTCTTTCTTTCTTTCTTTCTTTCTTTCTTTCTTTCTTTCTTTCTTTCTTTCTTTCTTTTTTAATTTGGACAGAGTCTTGCTATGTTACCCAGGCAGGCTTTGGATTTCTGGACTCAAGTGATCCTGCTGCCTAACCTTAAGTAGCTGGGACTCCAGGTAGGACTGGTGCATCCTGCTGCAGGCTCATTTTGCAGAACTGAGCTTCAGCAAGTCCAGGGATGAGCACTCTTGTGTCACCAGCATGAAGCAGTGCGCCAGGCAGGTGTGAGGATCTGGGCTGCCCTGCTACTTCTCACCCACACGTGCTCCCGCGGCATAGAGGAGCTCACACAGCACACATCTCTCTCTTGGTGGGAAGGCCTTAAATGCAGACACTGGTCCTCCCAGTCTGTGGCCAGCAGTGTCACGTACCTTTTATGTGTGACTGCTTCCAACTCGAAGATGTTGAAGTCCCAGCTTTCCTCATTATCAAGCAGCTGGGTGATACATGGGGGGACATCATTGATGGTGACAGGCATCGAGAGGTGACCGTGACTCTGGTGCACATCTGAGCAAACACATGCGGTGGGAACCTGGTTACCTGTGGGGTCTTGGTGTCACTGAGTACCTACCATCATCTTTATGGCTGCCACTATGAAAACAAGTCTCAAACTTCCTCAAGAAGGGAGATTTTCACATCAAGGGTCTTCTCATACACTATGAAACCTCAAGATGCCCAAAGGTTAAAAAAAATCCAGCTTAGCTATGTGTTTATGTGTACAGAGATTTACAAGGCTTATTTCAACTGCTCAGATAAGTAATTTAAATTAGGAGCTACACACAGCTGAATACAGTGGGAGACAGGCTGTCAGCAACAGGGACAGGTGACCAAGTACTTACTCTTCGTGAATACATACTCGTTTCCTGACAATCTTCTCAAACCATCCTGGAACAAAAAGACACGCGGTTAAAAGCCCGCTTTACGTCCTATCCTCCTGCTCTCAGCCCCTTTGTTAGCCAGAGATCAGAAAGAAGCCTAAACTCCCACTGAATGCCATGTCACACTATGGCCAACTTCAGCGCTAACTCTGCGTGCAGATGTAATCCAGGGCTCCACTCCTCCCACAGCTCCTGGTCCTGGGAGGTGAAGAACTGTCATACAGCCAATATGACTGCTCTCATGGCTCCCACACGTGTGGCCTGATTACCATGGCCCTTTCTCTTCTGCCATTCTCAAGCCATGAGAGTGAAGTCATGGAACTGATCCTGCATTGGATCCATGTAATTCTGATGTACCCGAGTACCTACTTAGGGACCCTGTTATTCATCTATTCTCAGGGACCACATTTGGGAGACAGTCTTTAAAAAATTTGTCAATTTAGTCAATTTTACCTGAGCAATTACACTTGTCATCTTACTGGTTGACCATAGATGTCCACCTCATCCCATCTCTGTCTCTCCTCATGCCCACCCTGCCTTGCGAGCTCCCATTTTTCCCCAACATGGACCTGCCTCACTTTGTGGTTTTGCTCTATAAAAATCCCTGGAAAAAGGCAGAGTCCTCAGCAACCCACTCAGGACCCCTCTGTCTCTCTCTCAGACAGAAAGTTACTCTCTCCCAATAAGTATGTTCTGCTCTTAAAAAAAAAAAATTAAAAGTTGGGCTCATTTTTCATTTGTATCCAAATGAATGTTTTTTAACTACATTTTTTTTTTTTTTGGTTATTCATTTTGAGGCATGAGCACTGCTGCTACCTTTGTAGAGAAAAGGATCTGAAGACTCTGGAGAGGTAGTGAGAGTGAACAGAAGGTGGTATTCTATTTCCTGGCTCTTGGACTTGAGCCAGTCCACAGATGCTCTTGAATCTGTTTCCTTGCCTCTTTTATCACTGACCTCATTATTTAGGTCTTTGTTTAAAAGTCACTGGGGTTTGCCTGCCAGCCCCTAGAAGCGTGAGCTACGGTTTAAAGCAGTATCAACCAGTGAAGGACTACCCTGATGTCTTGGATTTTTCACGCCCAGAGTTTAGTCTTTAAAGAGAGATAAGTGATTAGCAAGCACAACCAAGCAGCTGTCCTGCTTCTAAGGCAAGCATGGGAAAGTCCCTCGCTTTTATTCCTCTGCTTCTTAAAGCCAAGCGTGAATGAGAGGGAAGCCTGAGCTGGCTCCTGGTGTTATCCAGACAGGAAACCTTGGCAGGTGTGGCGACAGACAACTTGCACCCGGACCACATTTGCGGGTATGCACTGGCAGCCTGCATGCTAACCCTTCCCTGTCCTCTCCTGAGGCTGAAGTCTACACTGCATCAGCATGTGGCAACCAAGGCCAACCCAGGGCAGGGAAGGGACAGAAAGCCTTCCAGGCAGGGCTGGATGGAAACTGTCAGCTAAAACTCCTGGAGATAACTCTCAGGCTTGTTCCTCTCCTAAGGAATCCTTTCGGTTTCAGCTTCCACTGAGGAGCCCCAATGAATAATGCAGATTTTCTTCCTTCACCTCTCTTGCTGATAGAAGTAACTAAAGTGGAACAGACCTCAGCCAAACAAGAGAGCAGGCTGAGTCCTCAAGGGCCTCATGGCATGCCCTGGAGTGCTGAGGGGATTCCGGGGGGGGGGGTCCCTCCCACCTCCCACCTTCCCTATGGAGCCAGGGGGGTTCCCTCCCACCTCCCACCATCCCTATGGAGCCAGGACCACTCAGTTCTGTGCCATCTGATGACAGATGTAAAGATTTCAAGACAAGATTCCCCGGCTTAGTTTGGGAGCTGCTGTGGTGTAAGCCCAAAGCCTTTAATCACACATATATGCCTCGGTTTCCTCATGGATTCAGTCTGGGGCCGCCCCTGGATGCTAAAATCTGAGAGGACACAGCTCCTCAGTCATCAGAACATCAGGTGCAGTGTAAATGCCATGGAATATACATTGCTGCATTGGTTAGGGAACAACTGGAAGACTGTGTGCTCAGCAGACACAGAGGACTATTTTTTCAGGTTCTCAGTTTGTGGTTGGCTGAATTCAAGATGAGGAACCTGGGAATGCAGAGGTCAGCTGAAGCCCCAGGAAGCACAGTTGTGACCCTCAGTCCAAGGCTACCATCCCAAGTAAGTGGAAGCAGCAGGAGACAAGGCGTGCATAGCCCTGTTCTGCATTCATGGCCCTCAGTCGCCTGCTGATTTTTTTCCTTACTGTAAGAGGACCCAACTGTGGTCAGCCTGCCGTGTGGACAGTCAACGAGACGCACTGAGCTGCTGTCCATGGCACACAGGAATGGGCAGCCACAGCTGGCCATCAGTACTGTTGCTTGCCTACACTGCAGTACTCCACAGCTGCAAGGAAACTCCGGGAGGTCGGAGGGACTCTAAGGGCCCTGAACCCAGTGGCCTGCGCTTCCTGGGCAGCTCTGCACTCACAGTCATTAGGCCTCCAACCAGGTCACTGGTGTGCGGGTCTTCATCTTTGGCTCCCAGCTGAGGAGAGTAGAGTTCCGTGGTCCGTAAAATCTCCAGAACTCTGTCCAAGGCTTCTGCCACTGTGACTGGGCTATTTTCCTGGGCTGCATTGATTATATTTATGACCTAAAGAAAAGAGAAGAAGCAAAGCAGAGGGCAGTAGGCTCTGCTTGTGCCTGGCATTCAGTAAAAAATGAGTGAGGACACCGTATTGTCCCAGGGCAGTGCCTCTGCTGAAGCACTGCGCTGCCCCACGTCCTCCCCTCAGGACCAGACTGTCACCTCAGGCTCCTCAGAGCTCGGCGTGGGCCTCTCTCACTCCATGGCCCTTCAGAAATGACCTTTCCTTTCCATGTCTGGATGCTCATGTCCCCCCAGCCCCAGGACTCAGCCCCTGCCCTGGTCCCTTGGCTACAGAACTGCAGGTCTGCCTGCCTGCCTGATGCAGCTACTGAACACCTGCACAGCTGAACGTGACCTCGAGGTTCTTGTTCCTCTTCCCTCCAAGAAAGCAGAGACACACAAAGGCTTTCTCCTCTGGCTCCCGCCCTGTGGACAGAAGCCCTGGGCAGCCTTGGGCCTTCGCACTGTCCTCTCTTGGCCCTGACAGCCCCTCTAAGCCCCTCTGATGTTGGACTAACATTTCTTACCCATCCAGTTCTCTCTGCGCCCTCGGCCGCAGGTCTAGGCTCAGCTGCCACAGATTCTAGCCAGGAATTTGCGTGAAACCTCTAACCAGCTTGTTCTCTTCTCTTTTGCTATTCAGATCCAACCCCCACATACCCTCTGGAGTCCTGGCCAGTCACACGCCTGATCGCATCCACCCTACTATGAACCCCTGCAGGCCTTCTGTTGCATTCAACAGTTCCGGCCCCATTACGGCTCCACAGACAGAGCAGCCCAGCCGGTGCCACACCTGCACCTCGTATGCTCCCCGGCTGCCAAGCTCCAGCTCCTGACTTCCTTCCAGGAACCTTGGCTCCACTTCTGCACTCTCTCCTCAGAGTCCCGGGCCCTTGCTTCACAGACTTCCTGCACAGAGCAGCCTCCCCTGGGCCTCGCCCCCCTCTCTTTTCCTCAGAGAGCCCTAAGGTTCTCCTTCCCAGCACTTCCTCTTATTTACAACTACACACTTAATGTGTGCTTAGCACCTGTTTCTCCCACTAGCTGGTGTGCTCCAGAGAGCTCTCTGTCTCTAGCCCGGAGCCTGGGGTTGGGGACCCTGACTGTGGAATGAGATGGCAGCAGCCACTCACCTTCGTGATGGGCGCCTCGATGGTCATGGAGTGGATCCTCGCCATGGATGGGTAGCGACGGTTCTGCAGGCTAGGGGCTGGAGAGAAGTTGAGAGAGATGTGTCCCATTCTGGTGGTTCAGCCTAATGCTGCTAGGAAGTCTCTGCACGGACCTGGGGACAGGATTCTCCCAGGACTGATACCCACCCCCACCCCCACCCCCAAATCAAGAAATTCACCTGCCTTTTATTCCCAGCTGCGACCTGCCCGTGTGTAGAGAGGTGGTCTGGCAAGGCACTCGGGTGACAAGTGGACTGGGAACTTCAGAGGCTGGTGGGTCCCAGTTCCCCTTTCCCACAGGTCCCTAAAGCCCATGGACAGTTCCAGTCCTTCCACCCCAAAGCTGGGCTATGGGGCAGGTTAAGAGTGCAGTGTGGCAGGGAGGTGAGGTTCATGTCACGGTGCAGGGCAGAAGGGGAGCCGCCCTTCAAGTGGACTGGGGCAGCGTCACCTCTAGGTTTGTAACACAAGAGCACATGGTGGGCCTGGCTCTAATTGGCAGAAAGTTTAGCCTAAAAATTACTACATACGTGAAAAAGTAATCCTCATGGATGGTTTAAGTGGGGAAGGTGGAGGCCCTCACTGAAAAGCACTGTTCCCATCCTCTCTCCAGGCAGGCAGGAGAGACAGCTGCATCTTAAGAGACAGCAGTGGGAGTGGCCCGCTCCTGTCATGTGGCTGCCACCACAGTCTGGTCTGTGTGCTGCCTGTCACTGGGACCGGCTCTAGCTGCCTTCCCAAGTGAGCTGGCCCAACCCTCACGCCAGTGTGTGTGCTTGCTGTTTGTGCCCTCGCCCTCAAACTGTGCCAGCCCACCTACCTCACTCTCTGAGTTGTGCCCCTATCTTGAGACTTTAGCTCCTTGCCTTGTTCTCAGGCTTCGGACCGTGACTGGAGGCCTTCCAGACCTCTCCAGTCCTTTGAAATACTGCCCTGGGGCCTCCTTTCTGTCACAGACACTGTCTCCTCCTGCGCCTGCACAGCCTAGCCTTCCAGTTGCCAGGCACAAACCAAATGTGGGCTGAGGAGTCCTTGCCTAACACAGTAAGGCTCTGAGCTCCACTCCAGCACCACAGGATGCAGCAGAAAGCCCCGAATGCACCAGTGCAGTCCGACTGGCCCTCTCAGCTCTGGGGCTCCGGCTCTCTGCCCCACTTTCTCCTGATGCCTCCTGCCCTTAGCTCACGGGACTCTACTCACCTGGCTTGCCAGCCTTCTGCCCTGGCTTTGGCTCCACCTCAGGACTCCCCAGCCCCCACCTCCTGCCCCTTCAACGTCCCAGGTATTGCCAATAAAACGCAACCCACCACCTTCCCTTTCCCGGGCCCCCATCCCAGCCATGCCTGAAGACCCTCTTATTTCTGTAAAGATCAAAGTTTCCCAGGCACTGTAAAGTACCATTTCAGAATTGCCTTCCACTTTTCCAGCTCCCCACAAATCCAACTGGTTACTTGGACCTGGGTCACTGAACTCATGATTTGCCATTTTTATGATGATAAGGGAAGGGAAATTAAGTGGGTGTACCAGGTACAGTGACAAATGGCTGTGCACTGGTTGGGGACACTGGACACCTAGCCTTGAGCGTGGCCACATGGAGACTGCTCAGTGGCCATGAAACAGAAGGCCTGGGACCCTTCCTGGAGAAGCTGAGGACTGCAGAGGGCGCAGAACCTTTCAACAATTCGGACCCTTTCAGTTTACTGGTGGTGGGCAATCCTAACAACTCTCCTTGGAGTCTATCCGCTGACCAAGTCTTGAACAAATGCCTGTCATTTTCTATATTTTCAAAGGGTCAAAGAAATCAGAAGTGCTTCTCACCATCACTACTTCTTGACGATATGGACTTCACATCGATGGACTCTTTTCTCCTGTTCTTGTGTCGGATGGAATGGAGCTCTGGGGTGTATCAGAAACAGGAGGGTGGTTAGCTGGCAACATATTACATACTTTTCTCTTCTTCTTTGAAGGAAATGGTTACTTTTTAAGCACCAAAAAATAATTTTAAGAAGTACTAAGCAGAGTTACAGTCCTATTAGTAGGAAAACGCTGCCTTCCTGTGTTTCTTGAACCATGCTGCATCATGGGAATGGAGCTTACCATCAAAGGTGATTTCCTCCAGGAGTCCAGTATCATCCTGAGTAAACACTAACCTCTGTGGGGGTTCAATATACTCAGCTGGAAGGGGAAGACTTGTGGGAATATCAGAGGCAACCAAACACCAGGGACACCCACAGATATTTTGTATCATTTGAGAAACATTCAGACGAGTTTGGAGTCGCTCTGCAAGTTAGACTCTAGATGGTCTCTTGGTTCCCTAAGGGTGCATTTTCCCTAATGGGCCCAGAGACAGGAGCAGTTTCATAGCACAAACAATTTCCAAAGGCTAAGCTCTCACTTTTGTCCTTATTTTGTAAGGAGGGACAAGAAAGCATTTTAAAGTGCTGCAGAAATATTTGCAGACTTTGAACTTAACATTGCAAAAACTCATCCCCAGTGAGCACCACAGCATACACCTGCTGCAGCAGCAGAGGTGGCTTCGGGAACACATATCCCCAGGCCTTGTCCTTGGGTGCAGGACTTATGAGGAGCAACGGCCTCAGGGCAGTGTCTGCCCTGCAGGAAGCAGGTAGTGTGTAGAGTACCACTGAGCTAGCGTGATCACATCCACATGGCATCAGCTGCAGATGGAGCACACCCATGCATGTGGTTCGTATCTTACACACACACACACACACACACACACACACACACACACACTGATGCTATCTTATGGCTTCACTATTTGCTATTTCCACTTCAAAATATCCCTTAAGACACTTTTTAGTGTACTTTTTAAAACCATGTTAATATCTTAAGAATTCTGATTTAGTAAGAAAATGGTTAAGTCAATAACTAAACCTGAATTATACTTGTATAGCAGAAAGTAAAGGAAGAGCTGTAATAAAGTTAATCTGAACACCACAGCCACATAGCCTTGTCTTAATACCAAACTATTTACTACTCATCTCCCAGACCTTGCCTTAATTTTCCTATCCCTGGATGCAAGTTTCTGTATTTCTTTATCAAGAGCTCTAGAGACAGCAGTGATTGAAGGGACTCTCCCCAGGTTCTATGGTAGCTTTCAAACACTGAGAAACTGATTTGCTTTACATAAGACACTTGTTTTTAGCCTATGCAGAGGCTTAATGATCATGTATATTCCTAACATTTATTTATCAAATAATAAACTAGACATTAGTCTTCAATATTTAAAAAATTAAAAAATGTAGATTTTAAATAAAGCTAAAAGTAGAGAGGTTAGTTTCAAGGCTGTGACCCAGGCTGTTGATTGGATTCTAAATCATTTAGTGGAATTTATTCAAAGATAGAGAATATGTACTCTTCTTAATTTTGCCTCAGAACTAAGAGAACTTACAGCAATTGAAATGATCGAAATTTTGGAGTTCTTCCATAAAGGCTAAAGCAAGGACATTTAAATCAATTCATTATTTATTCTTGACAGATGTCTGTAGAATAAATTAAAAATTTTAAATCAGAAAAAGGAGAAAGGAGTTTTTGTTTTTTGCTTTTTGTACTGGGACACAAACTCAGGACCTCATGCTTACCAGGCAGTTGCTTGTGATGCTGAGCCATGTCCCCTGCCCAATCCTGTTTTTTATCTTTCTCTTTCTCTGTCCAGGCACCTACTATGTGCTAGGCATCACACCACTGTGTCACCAGCTTAGCTCCGGGGAGGGTCCTTGGAGATCCGAGCAGCTTGGAGAAGGAGGCACCTGCCCTCGCCTTTACCTCGGTGCTCAGCTCGGTGCCGCACCTTCTCTGTAGGATCAGCCACGCAGATCACCAGTCCTTAGGGCAGCCCGGCTGTGCAGTCACAGGGGTCTACCCCATAGCAGCCGCTGCAGCACTGACCTTGAACACTTGTTATCCACACTAACACCAGCGAGGTACACCTGTGCCAAAACCTCGCTGCCTGGGGCCCTGACCATCGCTGCCACCCTTGACCTGCAGCACAGCACAGCACAGCCTTCTGGGCTTCATTTTCCCTATCGCCATATACTTTAAATATAATAATTACTTCATTTAAGAATTACCACACTTCTGTTTGCAGTCTTGCTGTTTGAATTCCCACTTTATATGCTCCACTTTTGTATCTTGAACAACTATTTGCAAAAGGACAGTATGTAAACATCAACTATTGATTTCTTACTGTTTATTTTTTCTCTGAATATATGTCTTATTTCTATCCATTTTGTTTTTAGTATTTTTTAAATAAAATTTTTAAAAAATTATCACAGTTCTAAAAGCTACAAAGTGTGTCTACATTTTACTAATAAGGAGTCTACACTTGGAGACATTATATAAGTAATCCAAAGTCAAAGAGCTAAAAAGCGGTGGTGGAAATGCCAAGACTCCATGCTCTGCACCTATTGACAGGCAATTCTGGGTACTCTAATGGGTACAAAAGGCTCATACTTTTAGGTTCACAGAAGTACATTAAAGTTGTTAAAGTAATACCTTCATGCTAAGTATGTAAGAAACTAAAATATCTGTAGGACAGATTGTGTACCTGGATGGGTAATGCTATGTCACTCAGGGTTGTTCTGACCTAGAATGTTTTCAGGAAAAGTGAGGAAAGATATCACACTGGCAAACACCAGCTACTGCTAGGTATTACATCCACTGTCTTCCCTAGTGCTCGTTAATGAGATGAGCACTGTTAATTCATTTTATAAATGGAGACAATGAAGGGCAGAAAGAATGAATGAATCTTTCCGAGCAGGCTAAATATGGTCATTTTAGAGTCAGGGAGATGGACTAAATAGTTAGCTCAGGTTTTGATTTCAGGCACCAACAAGGCACAGAATGGCTGTTTGTAATCCTTACAAGATGGAGAATAGTAAATCTGTAGTAATAGACTTATTTCTTTCCTTTAATGGTCAGATAATTCTTGGGCTTTCCAGATGTTGAGGTCATCATGTCCAACTTTTCATTTATGGACAATGAATCCAATGGTCAGAAAGAGTCCTGCCCAAGGTCTGAGATGAGTGGGTGGGGGCTGAACAGGAACTCAGGGCCCTGCCTCCCAGAAAGACGCAACACAGCTGAGCCACCACCCTGTCCCTACCCAGCATCCCCCTAGACTTTGGGCCGCTCTCTTTGGGGTTTATCTGCTTCAAACAATCTCCAGCCAAGAAAAGAAATGAAGTTGAGGGAGGCACTCAATAAATAAGGTTGTCATGGATGTAAGAATTTGGGGGGGATTCCTACTTTCTCTCTGGCCCTCTGACCTTCTGATAGAAGATTCTGGCAATCCAGATACCAGGTCAAAGTCAATCTAAACTCCTTTAGAGCCACTGGTGGAGTTGAACCTACAACAGTCCCTCTGCACATCAGAGTTAAGTTGAAGCAGCCTCACCTGTCTGAGAACTGTCTCCGGAATCACGATGAATCTTGTGCATCTGAAGTTGTTCAGAGATTTGGTAAAAAAAGAGAGAGATTTTAAAATATGACATTTGCTACATTTCTCAAACAAGTTAGTTAAGAATCTCTGAGGACTGCAAGAAAGCAAGAAGTTGCACAGAAAGCAGAGCAGATGAGAGATGACCAGGACGTGATAGGATAGAGAGGCTCCCTTTTACTCTCAGAACTCCAAGCTGTGAGCTGAGAGGTGGAAGTACCTCAGGGACACACTTTCTAAGAAGCACGTCTGCGTGTCCTATAGAAATGCGGGAAGGCAAAAGTGATATTTAAAAGGCAGATCTACAGCCTGTTTGTGTTAGATGCGTTATAAAATTTTGCCGTGCTACAAAATAATCTGAATTGAAATCTAGGACTTTTAATCACCTCCCTACAAAGCTCTTTAAGTGCTCAATGATAGTCAATCTATAAAATGATTTTCACAGTGAGAGCTAAACTTATGATGCTGTTTTGCACCTAGTTCTTTCTCATTAGCAGATATTTCTGTGTGTTAATGACTTTTTGCTAACACACAAAATGAAGTCATCAAGAAAAAGCAATGTTTTTCTGGAGTTCTGAATTTCTTTCATTTTGTTCTATCTAATGATTGCAATGCTTCCCTATCCATCTACCAACTTCTTTCCATCCAGGGTTTAACCTGTTAAACCTCTGCAACTGTTCAACGAGTGGTAGGATTAATTTGGAGGTAGGTGAGCTCGGGAAGGGAGACCAGTATGGCTTGGGAGCAACACGGGTGAGGCCCAGAAACCTATGTCTATCAGCCTCAGACGAGATGTCCCAGCTTAGTAGAACCACTCCAAGCAGCTCACAGAACAGAAGGGCTCAAGTGAGGCTTTCCACCAGCTCTGCTACACAGTTCCCTCTCATAATTACAGAAAGCTACAGGATCCACTGGCGTGATGCCTTGGTCAGGATGTCACTGTGCGTCTCTGACTCAGTTGTCCCATGATTATGGCACTTTTTGCTACGAAGCAACTAAACTCAGTGTGAACTTTTATATGGTACCCAAGAAATGAAAGTTTTGTTTTGTATTTGCAACTGGCTCTACTCAAAAGCAAGTGATCTGTTACATGCTTAGCTTTGCTCTCTGAATGAAAATACAACCTCTTCTTTAGGAGAAAAGGCCCACAGCTTCCCACAAAAAGCCCCTTTGCTTATCCTTCCCAGCCCATGGGAACAGCTGGCTGAGCACAGCCCCACACTGGCCCCGCAGGTGCAACCCTTTCTCTGAGGTGAGAATGCATTTTAGCTACCTGAGGGGCAGAGAGGGCACTAGGAGGGGTGGGAGCCACAGTTCCATCAACCAAGGTGGCTTTTGTCCTCTTTTTCCACACGGCGCTGCATTTGGTACTTAGTAAGCTGAACATGTACCTCCACCCTGGCTCAAGGCCTCTGATAGACTCTGTGCCCACTGCCCACCCCAGAATGTGGACACTCCTAGCTTTATGACCAGAGACACTTTGGGATCCCTCAGTTTCTGCTGGCAGGGTCCTGCAAGGTGACTCATTCTGTGAGGTTCCTACCAAAGGCAGCACCTGTCACACCCGAGAAGCCACTGTTGTTTTTTGGTTTGGTTTGGTACCTGGAACCCAAACTATTCACAGAGTTACATCGTCAGCCTTTTGAAAATTTTGGGACAGGGTTTTGTTAAGTCAATTAGTTGCCCAGTCTGGGTCCAAACTTGTGATCCTTCTGCCTCAGTTTTCCAGAGTGATAGAAATATAGCTGTGAGCCACTACATCCAGCTCAGCAACGGGTTTTCAACCATAATCTCTCTGGTGAGTGATCTGTGCATCTCTCCCTCGTACCCCATCTCTCAACTAAAGATGCATGTGGATGACAAAATTCTCTCACAATAAGTGCCTTCTCCATGGAGCTCTAAGACCATCAGTTATTTATACCTGGGTGGAAATTATTCTATCAAAATTATTTTTGTCACCACACTCAGCAGAATGCACTGGGAACACAGATGCGGCTTGAGTTCTAAGGTGCAGGGGCTGTAGGACCATGGAGCAGGCACAGGGTTGAGCTCCACCCTGAGACAGCAGCCGCCCCTTCTATGGTTCCCAACTGCTCCCACTGCAAGCTAAGCATTGCAAAGTGGCCCTGCAGAAGAGGAAGGTGCACCATTCCCTGAGGGACAAGAAGGTCAAGGCCTGCATGGGTTCTGTGACTTGCCAGTGTCACACAGTAGAGCCCAGGACCAACTGAAGTCCTTCTAGCCCTAGGACCAACTGCTCTTTCTTCCACTGCTCTCTCTGGAAAGACCCAGGGCTGTCACAGGCCCTGGTTTGTTAACCTGGGGTCTAAGGAACTAAACCAGTTAAACAGAAGCATGTATTCACAGATGGACTTGCAGAAGAATGTTCAAGGCAGCCAAGAACTGGGAGCAGCCCAGGGGTTCTTGACCAGAAAAAGCTTAGGGGTTTGGGGGTGCAGACTGATGTGACAATGACTATGAACACAGCACAGATGCATTTCAAAAACATGAAATGAATACAAGCAGTGATGAAGCTCTGCCCAGCCTATGGTTACATAGCTCAGAGCAGTGGCTCCTCCTGTGCACAGGGACAGGTATGTGGCACTGGTGGACTTGTGCAGGGGCAAGTTTGCTATCTGGATGGCCTCACACTCATCGGGACTCAGTGGACTCAGTCTTTAAGACTTGCACATTAGCATGTTTTGCGTCTACCTTAAAACCTCTTAAACAAGTATTAAGCTCCTGTTAATGACACAGATGCTGCAGCAGCAAGGGATAGTGCAATGTTCCAATGTTAGTAACTCTGGACAGTTGCAAATCTACCAAAAAAAAAAAAAAATAGGAGGGTTGGCGTAGACACAGGTGGAAACTGGATCAAGTAAAACTGCAGAACGACAGAGGTGGGTACAGGGGAATTAACTTACATTCCTCCAGTTCTCCTATATGTTTACAACTTTTCACTAAGAAAGTATATGCATTCAGGTGAGTTATGGATGGATAGTTAAAACTGGAAGATTGAGGTGCCATTTCAAGATTTGTGATGTCAACAAGATGAAGGAAATCAAGACCAGCCTGAAACCCAGGAGCCTGGGCACAGCAGGTCGCCATTGTATGTCACACCAGAGGTGGGGAACTGTGTGCAGCAGCTGTTGGGCTAAGAAGCACAAACATCACCATGGTAACTGCTCACAGCGCTGATCTGTATTAATCTGATTGACTGATTTTATGAATCATGGAGCTGTCAATGAACTTAAATGTTTGGAGAGAAGCCCCGAGACATAATGATATGAAAACATCTCTCTTGATGTGTTTAAATCAACCTTTTAATAATATATCATAAGAGGAGTTTCAAAAATGGTGGCTTGCTAGGGGATTGGGCACAGCGTCTCTGCGGAGAAATCATATTAGATGCTAGAATATGGAGAGGGCCAGATGAATGGATAACAATTCTTATTAACCAAGGCAGTAACCGAAGGGAAAAATAAAACTGGGAAAAGGAAGGAAAAGCATGGATGGAGAGCTGAAGCCCGATGTATTCACTGAGCCCCATTCCATGCTGTACTAGGCGTGGCCGGAGGATTTAAGGTTGTGCTGAGACTACGGCTGCCAATAATGGGAGTTTGTGAATCCCGAACCCTTAATGCGGCACACTGACCAGTGGATCCAACAGGAAAAGCTGTATTGGCTTTTGGCAACTGCACCAGAGGAGACTGCAAGAAGCTCTTGAGCTCTGAAGCTGGACACCATGCAGTTTTCTGACCAATCTGCGCTATGCCAGAAACACAGTGAAGACAAGCAGCGCAATGTGCAGTGGACCCAAGAGGCAGATCTGCATTCAGTCCTGGTGAGTACTAGGGACTGGGTCCCATGGCTGCTGTCGCTGGCTGGAGGACATCTTGGAATTGGGCAGAGCCCGCCACCACGGCAGCATCAGTGACACAGAGAGGTCTGGTGGAGGACATCTTCGAGTTGGGCAGAGCCCAGGCCATGGTGACATCAGAGAATCACCCTTGGTGCAGAGAGGTCTAGTGGAGGACATCTTGAAATTGGCCAGAGCCTGGCGCCATGACGGCATCAGCAACACAGAAAGGACTGGTAGAGGACATCTTGGAATTGGGCAGACCCAGCACCACGGTGACATCAGATAGTCACTACTGGCGCAGAGATTGTCTGGTAGAGGTCAGCTGGGATTTGGGCAGAGCCCTGCACTGCGGTGACATCAGCCAGCCACTTCTGGCCCAGAGAGAACTGGCAGGATCTGCTGGGGCTGTCTGGTTGGGATCCAATAGGCAGATACAAAATAGTCATGACTCTGTGACGTCCACAAGATACAGCCTAACTTGCTGATTGACTGGCACAGAGGCTGGAGGCTAGCCTGCACTGTTCCTGCATCCCTGCCTACCTCAGATAACAGCAAATTGGGAGGGCAGCAAAAACTCAAGTCAGCATGCTTCAGAAAGGCCCTAAGCAATACGGAGAGGGCCAGAGACCGCCAGGACACTCCAGTCTGAAAGAAACCAAAAATATGACAAGAGATAGAAATAAAAAAAAAAAATCTCCAGCTGCTGAACGTGAGAAAATAAGCCCAGGAGAAGTAAACACAGAAGAGAACCAGCACAGTAATTGTCCAATACTAGATACAGCATCAGCCAAAATAAAGAAATACCTTCATGACCTCATAGACGAATTTAAAACTGTACTTTTGATCCAAGTGAGGCAAGATATAAAGAGATTAATTAAAGAAATGATAAGCCCCACCCAAGAGAACACAGATGGAAGAACGGAGGAAATCAGAAAAGAAAGAGAAACCTCTGATGAAGAATTTAAACATAACCTAGAATATATGAAACAGATCCAGATAACCAGAAACTAAAAACTCCATTGAACACTGGCAAAATGTCTCGACAGAAATTAAAGTTAGCCTTTTGAAACTTGAAGAGAGATTTATGATATATGATCATGAAAGAAAGGACCTCTTAAAAATAACAAGGAACCAAAAAG